GGGAAGCAATTCCCCACCACGCCATCAGCTCTGCTCTCTGCCATTCTCCAGGCTCCTGGAGCAGTGGGGGTTCAAGTCCCTGCCACTGGCCTCTCACACCTCTTCCATTTCTAAGAAATCCTTTGGGTCTCCAGAGGCAGTGAGGTGCGCCATGAAAGCTGAGAAACTAGGACTGGGGGGAAGGAGAAAGGAATCCCAACTCCACCTGCTGGTATGAACCGCTTAGCTTCTCTGCAACAGGGCTACAATACGACAGACCTCACAGGGTTATGTTGAATGCAGGTGCATTGCATTGAACACATCGCCACCTCTGTCCCTGTAGGTAACGGAGACACACCACAACTCTCCCTAATATTTGGAAATGGGGATAGGGGATCCAGAGAGCTTAAGCAATATATTGAAGGCAACTGAGCAAATCAGAAGCCAAAGTGAACTCCCCTTTGGCTTCTGCCAAAAGTAAAAGTCAGCACTCCACAGTGAAAGGTGGGAGACATTCGCAAGCCTGGGGACTGTGGGTGGCAAGGGTACAGGCTGGAAGGGATCAATGGCTGGTCTTGAGTAACTCCACCCATGGCTTATGCAAGTAACAGAGCACTGACGTGATGGTAGTTTGGACAGAAGGGAAGGAAAACCCCTTTGATATGCCCTGGGCTTTGCTGCCACCTCCCCGGGGGCCACCGATTTTGATTTTCTCCTTTTATCCCCCAGTCATGGGGACCTCCCACCCCAACCCTCAGGCAACTGCAGTGGAGGGAGAGCTGCAGGGACTCAGAAGAACGTCCCTTCAATTCCTCAGGAAGCCTGTGAGCCTGATTTTAAAAAATATTACTAGAAATTAAGTTACGTTTAAAAATCAAGTTTAAGGCTGGGATTGTGGCTCAGCGGTAGAGCACTCGCCTAGCACGGGTGGGACCTGGGTTCGATCCTCAGCACCATATAAAAATAAAGGCATTGTGTTGTGTCCATCTACACCTAAAAAATAAATATTAAAAAAAATCAAGTTTAAAAGCAGCAAAAACACCCCACAACTAAATGATTAAATTAAAGCTAATAAATGTTCAAATCTCATAACTTCTGAATTATTTCACTCATTTTTATAATAACATATACTCCTGAGCTTGTTTACATCTATAACAACCATGTGATGTGTTATTGCACATGGCTTTTTTTTTTTTTTTGGCATTGGGGATTGGATTCAGGGATGCTTTACCATCCCCAGTACTTTTTTATTTATTTTTTTATTTGAGACTGGTCTCACTAAGTTGCTGAGGCTGGCTTTGAACTTGCCAGCCTCCCGCCTCAGCCTTCTGAAGAGCTGGAACTTCAGGGTGCGCCCCGTAGGGGGCTTGGCTCAGCATTTGCTAGCCACAGTGGACAGTGGATTTGGGTGACTTCCTCTTGCTGAGGTTCAGTTTTGTCTGTAGAATGGGAAACAGCAGTGATTCCAGAGGATTAAGTAGACACTATAATGAGCGGGGGAGGTGGTGTGTGCTGTCCATCCATGGCACAGGGGGTAGGGGATTAGGGCTGGTCCCTAGAAACAGACCTCAAAGTGAAAGGTGACTTAGAAAACCACATGGGTGAAAGGAAAGGGGGGAGCTGCACTGGGGAGAAGTCATGGTGCAGACCTAACTGGGATTTGGCGAATCCTCCCAGGAGCGCTAGAAACAGACCTACCAGGCAGACTTGTGCCCCATTCCACTCAAATGGCCCAATCTTCCCATGCTCTTGCTCAGCTACCACATAGGGTCTGCCCAGGAAGAATGTGGCCTCAAGCAGCCTCTGCAGCTGAGGCTGACCCTATAGGAGGTGACATCTGGCCTCTCTCCCCATAGCTGAGCAGCAAGTGAGTCCTTCCTGGTAAAGGAGTAGGCATGTCTACTCTACCACCAAGGGTGCATTGACTTTAGAGAATATAAAATAAAAATAAAAACAGCTAACGTCTGTTGATTTTATCATTTTGTGCCAGCAAACCTAAACAATGTTGATAATGACATATTCTTCCCTGCTGAATCCACTCCCTCCACACACACACCCCTCCCCGTGACTGTGAATACCTGCTTAGAGATACTGTTGTTGTTACTGTTATTATTATTCTCCTCCGGTTTGTCAGGACTAGCAGTGGCAAATGCTAGAAACAACTCCATCTAGCTAAAGCTGATAGGGAAATGTTGGGTTCCTGCAGAAGCTGGGAATGAGCCTCGAGGCTCAGGAACCTGCCCCTCTCAGCTATAACTTCCTGTGCTGCCTTAGACCACAGACACACCTTCCCTCAGGGGGCTTCAATATAGCCACCGTAGAACCATTCAATTGGGTTGGCAAACCCCAAGTTCAGAGGCAGCCCCTTCTCAAGTGGAAGTCCCAGGGCAAACCCACATTGGCCTCTTCTGGTCCTGTGATCATCCTGATCCAACCACAGGGATTCTCATGGGGCAATTCTAGCTCACATGCCCCACCCCTAACACTAGGGAAAGGGTCCCCCAGAAGAAAAGGGAGAAGCTGTCAAAAGAGGAATGGATACTGGAGAGACAAGAACAAGTAGCCAGGAATCTGCTCGATATCCCCAGTGCCAAGCACAGAGGACAGGCTTCAAACCAGGTCAGATCCAGTGCCCCCATTTGCAGGGTTTGGGGTACTAATATTCAAGAGCGGAGCTGAGAGTGGCCTAAGATCACCGGGTCCAGTGTCCAGAGATCTTATATCCTGTGCCATCAACTTTCTGGACCCTTCAGGCTGTCACCGATACCTGATGAAACAGCTGCCTGTCACCCCAATGCTCAGGCTCACAGCTCTGTGCCTCAAAAGATAAAGAGCAGTCCCACCCCGATGCCTGCCCAACTGCACCAGCCCTGATAACAGGACCAGCTGGGCACCCTGGCCGGCCCTCACCCCCTCGGCACCCAACTGAGATCTCAGCACTTGCTTGGTGACTGTGCAGCCTGGATGGGGAGGAGGGACATCCTGTTCACAGTCTTACACCTTAGAATCCTCATTACTGTCTGTAGTTGTGGATTCCAGGAAGCAGAGCTCAGGCTATTCGTTGTTTTTAGACCCATTAAAAAAGAAAAAATGTTGGGGTCTCCCTATATTGCCCAGGCCCATCTCAAACTCTTGAGATCAATTGATCCTCCTGCCTCAGCCTCCTGAGTAGCTGGGACTAAAGCAGGTGCCATTGCACCTGGCTTAGGTCTGCTTTTAAACTGTAACTAAAGCCTCTTGGTTTATTTGTTTCCCAAACATACCAAAGAGTCACAATGCAGCTGCTGAGCCACACTGTGCAAGCACAGCAGGTGGACAATGGGTGTGTGTCTGCTCAGCCTCTTCCCTCTGCTGACCTTGAGCAGAGCAGGCTTTAAAGTTCTGATCATGTTGCAACTCTGCTATAAAACAGTCAATAGACCCCACTGCCTCAAAGTAAAATCCAAATTCCTTAACTTGACATTTGAGAACCCTCCTTCCTCCCTTATAACAATAAATCCATATTATGATCATTCACTGAGTGCCTGCCACATGCCAGGCATCAAGCAAAGCTCGCTGCATACATTAGATCTGATGGTCCTCATAGCAACCCTGTGAGGAAGGTCTTATTAACCTTCCCATTGTACAGACAAGCAAACTGAGGCTCAGAGGGGGCAAGTGAATTGCCCCAGGCCACTCTGCTAGTGACGGACACAGGAGCACAAGTCTCTGTCTATGCAGAGGCTTTGCTCTACCCTGGGAGCTGCTGAGTCCCCTCATTCTGCTGCCACCACCATCCCTGACTACTTGACCTCTGTGCCAAGCTTGCCCTTTCCACTCAGCCATGGGCCAAAGGAAGTGGTACTTTCTCCAGGATCTTAGTGGGAAGCACCAGGAGAGCAGAATTTGTCTGCTGCTAGAAGATGACATGGAGATTCTTTCTTTCTTTCTTTTATTTTTTTTTTTTTAGTTGTAGTTGGACACAATACCTTTATTTTATTTATTTGTATGTGGTGCTGAGGATCGAACTCAGGGCGTCTCACGTACCATGTGAGCACTCTACCGCTGAGCCACAACCCCAGCCCCCCTGTGGAGGTTATTTCTGGTCAGCTACAGCATGGTGAGATCAACTGAGAGCGTGGACTTTGGTGAGAGGCGGGCCTGGGTTCCATTTGCGGATGTCGACTTTCTAGCTGTGTGTCCTGAGGCACTTCTCTGAGCCTCCACTTTCTAGTCTGTAAAATGTGGTGATAAAACCACCTCAGAGGATTGATGAGGGGTTGGATGAGGAAAGGGCAGGGCATGTTGCATGCTTACCACAGTCCCTGCCAAGTAAAACAGAGTGACCAGAAAATGGGGGGAGTTCATGTTACTGCCAACATGACTGTTTTGAGTAAGCGCTCTGCCTCCAGAGGTGACTGCTTGGTGGATCACAACCCTTGTGTTGAAGACTCTTTTCTTTTACATTAAAATGTCAGCTCACTTCTTAGAACACCCAAAACATAGGGATGTAAGAAAAAGGAGATAAGTTAAACTATTCAAAAATTAAAAATTTTGGTGCTCCAAAGGCAGAGTGGCCATGCCTGTGATCCCAGGAACTCAGGAGGCTGAGGCAGGAGGATTGTGAGTTCAAGACCAACCTCAACAACTTAGTGAAGCCCTGTCTCAAAATAAGAAATAAGGACTGTTTTGGGGGCTCAATGGTAGAGCGCTTGCCTAGCATGAGCAAATCCCTGAGTTCAATCTCCCTGCTATAAAACACCCACAAGACTGACCCATTTATATTGATATTCTGGAGAAGGCAAAACGGTAGGGTCAGAAAGTAGGTCTGAGGGGCCAGAGCCCCAAGGGGGTAAGGGATGGAGGGAGTGTGAAGGTGGGTGGGTACATTTGAGGGATTGTTCTTTATCTTGATTGGGGTGATGGTGACACAACTGTAGATGTTTTCCAAGGTACACTGAACAAAGTGACTTCCGCTCCGTGTAAATCATACCTCAATCAATATAACCCCTCCCTGAAGTCTTGATTTGCAAAATTGTAAATTATGATGAAAATCGTGTAAATACAATTTGCTGCAGAACCAGGAAGGGCAATTAGATGCACTGAAAAGGAAATCAGCATGAAGACACTGTGCAGTCCATACTCGGAAAAGCTGAAGGTTCCAAGCGACAAGACTGCACTGGTTCCTCTTCCTTTAACCCTCCATCAAGTCGTGAGAATAGGTGGCATGTTTAGCACTGCGGAAAATAATGACAAGAACAAAATAAAAACCACCTGTAAATAAGGTTTTGTTTTTACACAAATGGTAACTTATCACATACACTGTGCCTTTTTGTTGTTGTGTTTTTAACTGAATGTACCCTGGAGCTCACACACACACACGAGGGGTATAATTCCACAGGACACACGTGTTGTCCACTGGGAACAGAGTCTACGGTGTCAGGGCAGGGTATGCATGGGCCAGGTCATCAGAATATCAGGACTCCCAAGGTGACCCCCACTGAGGGACCTAAGGCTCTCACTAGAGTCCAAATTATTCAGTTTCGTGCAGGTTGCAAATGGACCGCTAGAGGCATCTTGTTCTAAACCCCTTTGCCAGCCAACAACCAGTGGGGACTGGATTCAGAATTCAAAGATTGAATCAGCTTGCCAAGGCAGCAGGGGGTGTTTTCCTCCAGGAAGAAGGGAGAGCTTCCAGAAACATCACAAATGTCCTTTCCTCCTGTGCTGAGCCTCCCAGGCTTTTTGTATTATTAAAAAAAAAAAAAATCTGTTTGGATCTGGAACATCCCCCAAGCCCACGTGTTAAAGGATTGGTCTGGTTGCTTCTGGAAGAAGTGGGAACTTAAGAGGTGGGACCTAGGGGAAGGTCCTCAGGTGATTGGGGGCGTGCCCTCCAAGGGATAGTGAGAGCCCAGCCCCTTCCTCCTCTGTCCCTTCACTTCCTGGCCATGAAGTAAGTGGTTTTGTTGCATCAAGAGCCTCCACCATGATGCGCTGCCTCACTTCAGGCCCAAAGCCACGGGGCCAATGGACCATGGGCTGGAAACCCCAAAACTGGGAGCCAAAACAAACTTTTGTTCTTGTAAATTTATTTATCTCAGGTATTTGTTATAGTGACATAAAGTTGATGAATGGACCCACTCAGTAATTAAATCTTCAAATTTTTTCAGTAACCCCAGACCTTTTGTCCAGATGGGCTTTGTATCAGATAGGGGAAAAAGGGCATTTTTACAGAAATATTTTTATAAAACTTAACCAGAAAGATTCATTAGATTCAAGAAGGGGTTCAGGAAAAAAAAAGCCTGATTTTTCACAAATTTCCAAAATGGGTATACACAGCCTGGCATGGTAGTACATACCTGTAATCCCAGCAACTCAGGAGGCTCAGGTAGGAGGATTGCAAGTTTGAGGCTAGCCTCATCAAGTTTAAACAACCTGTTTCAAAATTCGGGACTGGGGTTGTGGCTCAGCAGTAGAGCACTCGCCTAGCATGGGCAAGGCCCTTGGTTCGATCCTCAGCACTACATAAAAATAAATAAATAAAATAAAGGTATTGTGTACAACTGCAACTAAAAAAATAAATATTTTTAAAAAAACATAATAAAATTTAAAAAATACTTTTTTGGTTGTAGATGGATACAATGCCTTTATTTTTATTTTTGTATTGTTATGTGGTGCTGAGGATTGAACCCAGTGCCTCACACATGCTAGGCAAGTGCTCTACCACTGAGCAACCCCAGCCCTAAAAAAGTTTTTTTTAAAGGGCTGGGGAGTTAGCTCAATGGCAGAGCATACCTGGGTTCAATCCCTAGTACCAAAAAAAAAAAAAGAAAGAAAGAAAGTTTTATATAACAGACCACCAAAGCTGGTGATGCTCCAGTGGTCAAGGGTTTGCCTAGCAGGTGACGCCTTGGGTCTGACCTCTGACACTGTAAAACAATAAAGTAATCAAATTTAAAAAACAATACATGGGCTGGGGCTGGGGCTCAGTAGAGCCCCAGGTACAGCAGTCACCTAGCACGTGCAAGGCCCTGGGTTCAATCCTCAGCATCACATAAAGATAAATAAAAATAAAGGTATTGTGCCCAACTACAACTAAAATAAACAAATATTAAAAAAATATATATATATATGTGTGTGTTACAGATATTATATAGATTATATATGTGTATACATATTTATAAATAAATAACATGTAATACATATATATATTACATAGAAAATTTATTTGTATGTGTGTATATAAACATATACACACACATACATATATATTTTCTACATATATATATATATATATATATATATATATATATATATATATATATAATTTCCCAGCCAGGTGCGGTGGCGTATGCTTGTAATCTCAGTGGCTCAGGAGGAGGAGGCAAGAGGATCCCAAGTTTAAAGCCACCCTCAGAAACTTAGCAAGGCTCTAAGCAACTCTAAGCAACTGTCTCTAAATAAAATATAAAAAGGGCTGGGGGTCAGGGCTGGAGTTGTGGCTCAGTGGTAGAGCACTCACCTAGCACATGCGAGGCCTTGGGTTCGATCCTCACCACCACATAAAAAATAAAATGAAATAAAGGTATTGTGTCTGACTACAACTAAAAAAAAAGGCAAAATATTACGGAAAAAAGGGGGGGCTAGGGGTATGGCTCAGTGGGTGAGTGCCCCAGGGCTCAATCCCTGGTCCTGGTACAAAAAATAAAAAATAAAAACCTACCCTGTTGGTCCTGAGCTGCTGAGCAGCCTAGATGAAAAAAGTCTCACTGGGTCTGCTCTGCATTTGACCTAGTACTTACTGTGGGTGCCCACTGGGAGAAACTGAGTGAAGTGGAATCAGGTTCAGACCACAGTTGCAAAATGCAAGGGACCAGGAACAAGCAAGAGAGGCTGGAGGGGTCCAGGCCCTGTGACGTGGCCTCCCCAACATGCTGCTGTGGGTGGGGATCCTGAGTTAAAGGAACGGACCACAGAAAGATGGAGCTGGAACTGGGGTGTGGCATGTAAACTCCCATGTGCCAGGCCCTGGGTTCCATCCCCAGCACTGATAGGGAAGGAAGGAGGGCAGGCAGGGTGGGAAGAGCAGGCTGATCTTGGATGAGCAAGAGCAAACCTTTCATCAAGACTTCTGTAAGTGACCCAGGTGATCCAGCAGCTCCAAGGTGTTTTCGCCCTATGTGGCTCCACAGAGGGGTGACTCCAATCTGCCACCATCATGGAGTCAGGATCTGACTCACTGGGCAAAGCAACTGTGCCTGACTTCGGCTTGGAGTCAGTGTCAGGCACCTGGGCCATCAGGGTGCCAAGGAGGAGGGCGCCAGGGCGCCAGGGCTGCGGCCGCTGGGACGCTCACACTCCACCCAAGGGAAGCTGCTGCTTGACTTTCAGCCTTTCATTCCCCAAACAAAGCTTCTGCCTTGTGAAGCAGTAGAACCAGGCGGGGTCATCGCCAGTGTGTCAGGCTGAGTAGAGATGCCATGGCTGCCATAACAGCGCCAGAAGTCCCCAAGAGCAGCCCCAGTTCAGTGACTTGCTAGGAGCACTTGCAGTCCTGGTTACAGCCACACGCACGCTGGGATTCACGACAGCCAAAATGCAGAGCCAAGTGAGCAAAGGGAAAGGTACACCAGGTGAAGTCACAGGAAGCCAGCAAAGCTCCCAGTCCTCAGGCCCATGGGGTCACATGCTCATTCCTGCAGCAGCCTGTGAAGTGGTCTCTGCGAGGGACGCTGGATCAAGTCAGAGTCCACCAAGATTTTGCCAGGGGTGGGTTGTTGGCACCCTCTGCAGAGAACAGCCCAAATCCCAGGGAAGGGAAAAACACTGTGTGTGTGTGTGTGTGTGTGTGTGTGTGTTTCTCCCCGCTGTGGTGCCAAGGATCAAACCTAGGGCCTCACACATGTAGGCAAGTGCTCTACCACCCAGCTCCACCTCCACCCGCCACTTGTGCAAACCTCTGGGCATAACCACTGTTATCATTTCTGAAATCCAGGTTCCAGGGTGCCAGCCCAGCCCCCAGTGTGTACCCTTTCTGCCCCTCAGGGTGTGGTGCAGGTTGGCCCATCTGTTTAGAGTGACCGTTGAGCAAGGTCCCTGGAACCCACCTCTTGGCCCAGGCTGGGCACAGAGAGTAACGGCCACATCCCACTGCTGCTAATCTGTTATCACCTGAGCCCAGTCTGAGCTAGTGGCATCAGGGAGGAACAAGGGTGCTCCAGACACAGGGCTACACACGTTCCCCTCCCAGGGCTCTGCCCACAGATGGCAGTGGCACCTGTAGGCATCCAGATGGGACTCAGACACACAATGTTTCTGGAAGCAAAGTCCAGAGGGGAGGAAGAACATAGTCACAACCCCTGCTCAGTTGAACTGGACACCAGCCTTTGGCTCCCAGGGCTGCTGATGACGTGCTTCCTGGATTCAGCAAACTTTGACCTTGTGCCCAGCATATTAGCCAGGCCAGGCTCCAGGAATAAGGGTTTGAATTGGCCACAGTGTGCAGGGGACAAGGTGTTCCTGCTGGCTTGGGGGGATGGGTGGGCTGCACTGAGCTCTTCTCCCCCAGTGGAACCTTCTAGGCCTGTGAGCTCCACTCTAGTTTTCTCAAATGGAAAATAGACTCAGGGAGCTGAGGTGGATGTGGGTGGTGGGGAGGCAGGAAGCCTGGAGAGCCATCTAGGAGGTAAAGAATGAGGGGGTGGGACCAACTCGCCTGCCCATAGAATAGCCCAGAAGACAGAGAAAGGCAGGGAGGGGATGGGTGGATGAGATCCAGCTGCAGAGTCCAATGGGCTGCAGGGCAGAGTTCTGTTCTGACCCCAAGGTCACCAGCTCTGTGACCTTGGGGAAATGCATTTGCCACTCTGGCCTCAGTTTCCTGGGGACATCAATATCTCCCATTTCGATGCAATTTAAACTGTGGGCCCCAGAGGTAGAAGCCCTGGTTCACACTCCAGTTCTGTGCAGCCACTTGCCAAGGGCACAGCCTGGGAGAGTCCTCTGTGTGTCCTGTACTCCAACCCCCAGGGTTGCTGGCCAGGGTTTCCATCATCAAAGCAATGAAGAGAGTTTCAGGAGACTGGCATGGACCCAGAGCCTGGTGGGTGCTGGAGACTGGGCAGGGGCAAGGCCAATGCTCTCTTTCAATACTCGGGCCATAGCAATGTCAAGGACTCAACCCCCATCAGGGCCCCCCAAATCACAAAGAAACAGCTATTGAGCCTGTATTCTGTGCACTGTGCAGGTCCAACTCCAAAGACTGACACTGTATCTCACAGAAGTCCTTCCATGCTATTATGGTTCTCATTTTATAGATGGAAAAATTGAGGTCAGAGGGTCTGTGGTGTTCCCCAGTAAACAGTATATAGCAGAACCAGAAAGCAAACCCCTGAACACGTGCTCCAACTGCCATGGATAAACCCTTTTATCCCAAAGACAGTCTAAGTGTTTGTTCTGCCAAGAGGAATTCAAGACCAGCCTGCAAATTCCTGGAGTAAGAAGTTCTCAAGCTACCACTGCCCTCAAGCTGGCCTTCGCTTCTGAGCTTTGACTCTGGATGGCAAAGATCACAGTCCCACCCTGGGGTCCTGGCGGAAATGTACCCTGGGCTCCTTGCCCTGGCTCTGCCCCCACTGCCTAGTGGACCAGGGTAAGTCACTCCCCCTCTGAGCCTGGCAGCATTGCCTTGTCCTGTGAGGCTCAAGGCCTTTGGAGCTGAGCTCACCTCCCCACCCCCAGGCGGGCCAGGGAGGTAGGGGAAGGCCCTGCCCCCTGGTAAATACGACTGTCCAGCACTCCCAAGCTGCGTGTCCCGGTCTTCCTGGCAGGAAGCTTGACCCAGATCAGCCATGGTGAGGGTCTGCCTAGGGCCATGGTGGCTCCCTGGGGGATGAGGACCTGCCATAAGACTTCAGCAGTGCCTGTCCCCCTGGCAGAGCCTCACTGTCTTTTTCTTTCTCCTTAGACGACCTATAGTGACAAAGGAGCAAAGGTGAGCAGGAAGGGAATGGGGGACCTGGGTCTAGAAGGGAGTCTGGGCTGGGGAGACCAGCATGTGAGCACAAAGTGGAGAGGAACAAGATTGGGGGTCTGTTAATACCTGGGCTCCCCCAGACTGGCTGGACTCACTTGCACCCTCCTGAAAAACTGTCACCTCTTCTTCATTTACCTGCTGAACTCTTCATCTCATCTGGAAGCTCTGGCTAAGTCTCCCTTCAATCCCTGCTGCTGTGGCTGTTCCTCCTGGGAAAGCTGGGCTGCCTCCTGAGGGGCCTTCCCAGTCCCAAATACTCCTGCACACTCCAGGGGCTCAATTTCTAAATGAGCAGTGTCTCCTGAGGCCAGGCAGAGCTCGGTGGGGTTTGGCCTCTCCTAGGTGCTGGAGCTGAGTCAGCCTCCCTCCTTCTCTCCTCCTGCAGCCTGTGAGAGGCCGATTCCTTCACTTCCACTCCGTGACCTTCTGGGTTGGAAACGCCAAGCAGGTATAAACCAGGGCAAGGTGTTGGAGTGGGCAGAGGACAGGCAAGAGGGTCCCCTGGACAGGGCAGGCCCCCAGCTGGTCTGGGATTGAATCCTGGAATGGGGAAATGGGGGCCCAGTAGGGATCCAACACTTTGAACCCCAGCTGGAAACTTCTGGGAGGGCACAATGTACCCAAGAGCAGCCTTTTCCCCAGTGCAGTCTCTGCTTCTGAGCAAGAGGGCAGGCAGGGGACAGGGACTCTCATCTGGGCCCCAGGCAGGTTCTCCACCCTCACAAACACTGTCACCTCTCTGTCTTTAGGCTGCCTCCTTCTACTGCAGCAAGATGGGCTTTGAGCCACTAGCCTACAGGGGCCTGGAGACGGGCTCCCGGGAGGTGGTCAGCCATGTGGTCAAGCAAGGAAAGGTACGTCCACACCCCAGGGACCCCTTGCTCTCAGAGCTCTCTTGGGGGCTCTAACGTGGTCGGCACCTTTGCAACAGGGACCTTCCCAGGCGAGTCTCCTCAGCCTGGTCCAGTGCTGGCCCCACAAGTTCAGCAAGCCAAGGCCATAGGTGTAGGGAGTTTCAGCAGAGTTGTGGCCCATGGGGTTCTGGGAGTTCTCCCCCAGGGGACCCAAAAGCTGATAATGGGTCCCAAGGGTGGCACAGGAGAAAGTCCCCAGCCCTTATGACCAGGGGGAGAGGCAAGGCAGAGAAGGAGCTAGAAGCTGTGATTCAGGAGTCCTGCATGGCTGCCCCCTGCTCCACCAGGGGTGAGCAGGACGGAGGGGAGGTGCACCTGCCCACGCTCCCCTGAGCCACCAGTCACACCCTCTTCTCTACCATGGTAGATTGTGTTTGTCTTCTCCTCTGCACTCAACCCCTGGAACAAAGGTGAGGGGCCCCGGGGTGGCAGCAGGGCTGTTGGAGGGGCCAGGGGTCAGAGGGCAGGGCCTGGGAAGGGCACGAGGGGGGCTGAGCCCAGAAGGCTGAGAGCCTGTCCAGGGGCCTTGAACTCCAGTGCCAGCGTTCCCTGCCGACCACAGAGATGGGCGACCACCTGGTGAAACACGGGGATGGCGTGAAGGACGTGGCTTTCGAGGTGGAAGACTGTGACTACATTGTGCAGGTGAGAATGCACCTGGGCTGGCCTGGGAAGAGGCCTTAGGCGTATCTGGCTCTCCGTGGGCCACAGGGACCCTGTCAGTCATGGCTGGATGTTGGCATGACATACCTAAGTCCTAGTGACAGAAGCCTGGCCCTTACTGTGTGTCCTCGCTTTCATGTTCCCACACATGGAAAATGGGGATAATCATAGCCTGTACCTCACTAAGTTTTAAAAGAGGAAATGGAGCCAGACATGGTGGCACATGCCTGTAATCTAGTAGCTCAGGAGACTGAGGCAAGAGGATCAAAAGTTCAAGGGCAGAGTCAGCAACTTAGTGATGCTCTAAGCAACTTAGGGAGAACCTGCCTCAAAGTAACACTAGAAAGGGCTGGGGATATGGCTCAATGATTAAGTGTCCCTGGGTTTCAAACACGGGTACCAGAGAAAGAGAGGGAGAGAGAGAGAGAGAGAGAGAGAGAGAGAGAGAGAGAGAGAGAGAGAGAGAGAGAGAGAGAGGGGGGTGGGGAGAGTGGAAATTACAATTTCTGGACTATGACTCTGAACCAAATGCAGTCCTAAAGAATGGTGAGGCCCTGGGTTCAATCCCCAGCACTGAAGGAGAAAAAAAAAAAAAGATGGATTGGAGGTTCAGAGTAGATTTCAGAGCTAGCATGACTGGGTCTGGGTGAGTTCGTGTTCCTCGCTGTAGAAGGCAGACAGGGCTGCTGTGAGGACTGCCGAGTGCATCCCCAGAACAAGCCTGGCCTGGGTGTCGCATTGGCCTGCAGTAAGCAAGGGCTTGCTAAATTAAGGCACAGACTTGGCATGCAGGGCTCGTGGCACAGGGCCCGACACACAGAGGTCACTTTAGAAATGTCTACCCCCATTCTTCTTATCCTCCACTCTTTGTACAGGGAGGGATGCTGAGGACTGGAGGGGGAGGAGGGCCACAGAGTGAGTTAGGAGAAGCAGACACACCCACCGCCTTGTCTCCCAAGCCCCAACTCTGAGCCTGGGCCTCAGTTTCCCTTCTTGCTCAATGGGGACTAGGCACACTTTGGAGGGGGGACAGGTGACATTGCCATTTCTGAACCACATAGAAACCAACCCAGCCAGAGGAGCAGGCCAGGACTCGGGGGCCCCAGCCCTCACTGCCTCCCCCTGCTCCATCTCCCTGCAGAAAGCCCGAGAACAGGGGGCCAAGATAGTGCGGGAGCCCTGGGTGGAGGAAGACAAGTTTGGGAAGGTGAAGTTTGCTGTGCTGCAGACGGTGAGTTCCCTTTGATGTCCCTGCCCCTCCTGCTGCCAGAACCCACTGAGATGCCAGGATGCTCCTAATTCACCCCATTATACCATCCCACCCTTGGGCCTCAGAACATGGACTTCCCCTGGGATCTGACCTCTCAAAGTGCCTGGCCAGAGTGCAGAGGTGGCTGGGGCCACCAGCCACCCTTCCCAGGTTCCCCTGGCCCCCCCAGTGGGAGGTGACAGCTTGCGGGGCATCAGCTTTGTGCAGGGACTTGTTCAAAAGGAGAGAAGGGTGGGCCTGGGAAGCCATACCCCACACTAGCTGTGAGACCTACTTCCCTCTCTGCAACTCAGTTTAAATAAGGTGGAACTGGACTCCTGTGTGACCTGGGGCACACTAATGCACCATTCTGTGCCTCAGATCCTTCAGCTGGAACCCTAATCAGGGCCATTGTGAGTGCCGAGTGTGACCATTGGCGTAGAACACTTAGAAGAGCAGAGCCTGGCACACCATAGGCACTTAGCAGAGATGACTGATTCTGCAGCCCTTGTTGCTGTAGGACAGAGAGGGCCCGAGGTCCCACCTCCTCAAGATCACATCAGGCATTAATCCTATTGATCACCCTTCAGCATGATTAGAGCTGATGCCTCCATGGTTATCATCATCAACACAGTTTCACTGAGCACCTGCTATGCGCCAGGCACTGCCTAGGATCCAAAGACAGCATGATGAGTAAAACAGCATCCCTGTCCTCACAGGGCTTCTGGTCCCCTGAGGCAGTTAGATTGAGATTGAAACTCCTAAGTGAATGATAGAAGGCAACACATGTCAGTCAGGGGAAGTGACTTTCCCAGGATTGATTTAGGAACTCAGGCTGGGTCAGGGCCATGAAAAGACCCAGCCCTGCCCAACCTTGTCTCCCTGCCTGAGCATGGGTGGGGTCCTAGGGCTGAGCCAGTCTGCTTCCCACCCGCAGTATGGCGACACCACACACACTCTGGTGGAGAAGAAGAACTACACCGGCCGGTTCTTACCTGGATTCGAGGCCCCCCTGCTCAAGGACTCCCTGCTTCCCAAGCTGTGAGTGCCCATGCTGCAGGAGTCGGGTGGAGAGCCCTGAGGCGGGTGGAGAGCCTGTCCCCCTCCTCCATGTGGACTGGGCTTCTGTGATGGGACAGAGCTCCTGGTGGCTACTGGAACCCTCTGAGGGCACAGAATACACAGGCCACAACACCTGAGGGCCCCAGGTCCCATCCCAGCTTCCTCCCTCCTCAACCACTGGACCTTGGCCAGGGCGCTGCAGTTTTCCATGGCCCTGGGTCTTCATCTATAAAGTAGGGGTTGCACTAATGAGTTAATTAAGCGCTTTGGTCCCCTGTAAGAGCTGCAGAGGTGGGGGCTGTGGTTATTACGGGGGCAGTGGGATTGGTGAGATTTGGGGGGCAGCCTTCTCCTTGCCCCTCAATACTGTCCTTTTCCTAGGCCCAAGTGTGGTCTCGAGATCATCGATCACGTTGTAGGAAATCAGCCTGATCAGGAGATGTTGTCTGCCTCAGAATGGTGAGCCCTGTCCCTCCCCCACAAGGGCCCTTGCCCTAGTCCTTGTACCAGGTGGAAAGGAGCACAGGTGGGTGGGAGGTGAACCTGGGCCAGCCCTTCAGTTATTCCCCATACATTGTCCCCTGAAGAACGAGGGGTTCAGGGCCTACTGCAATCCACATCCCCCCCCATGAGGAACTGCAAGGGTGTTCCTTCCAGTCAGTGGGGGGCAGATGCCTCTACCTGACTTGGTCTGCTTCCTGCTGACTTCCCACAGCGGGAAGTGGGGAGAGACCAGAGCAGAGGTCTGAGCTCCCTTTAGA